CATTTTCGTTTGTATTTATTAGGAATTAAATTCGTTCTTATGGCTGATTATGAGCCATTAAATTGGATGCATACAAGAAAAGATCTAGGACAGCTTTTAATTTACTAGGTGCCTTAATTCACTGATTGTGAATACACTTTTAATTACAAGCTAGAAAAATTCAATACTAATCCTAAAATGCATTTTTGTATGCGGAAAACAATATAAAGAACGGATCACTATTATTAAGATTTATAATGATGGGTCGAAAAAAATGGAGAAGAGGGGAAAACAGAGATAGAGAGTCAGAGAAAAAGAATGGTAAAAACACCCAATTTAACGACTACTAAACCTTTAGCACTGCCAACAACCTTGCAGGAGACAGCAAAAGTAACAAAACCTAGAAGCACGACCAAACCAGAAACAGATGTACCTTAATTGGACAGAGTCCCTGGACGACCCCTTGGTTCAAAAACAAACAAAGAATGGCCAAAGTAAGATCATAGTGTAATTGCTCAAAGGACTTGAACGAAAACATTTCCACAGCCACAGACATCATCTGCACCTCGACTGAGTTCGTTAAAAAATGTCACTAAAAATACATCATAAGATTCTAGCTCATTAAAAGTAAATTTTTTATTATCAGTAGCGTCAGCATCACACACTTGTAATGTCACAATTACCAGTCAAAGATATAATAAACCTTGATGAATCGTCAAGGATATGTATGTTTTCTGAGAACAACCCGAGTGATGCTAAAGAATCATCGGGAGAAAATACACAACCACCAGTAAATGACTCTAGATAAAGTGGATTACGGCAAAAATTCACTGAAACGAAAGTAGCCTCAAATATAAGTACTGGCTGGAACTCAGATGCGACAAATACTGAAACCTCCGTTACACCCATTTTACTTAGTAAAGGTTTAAACGACGATGTTTTTAAAGACCAACCTAAAACTACGACTAGAAATATTAATAAAGTTACTTATCAAGAAATAAAAAGTTAACAAAAAATTCATCCGAAGCCTTTAAAAATATTTAGACAAATCTAACAAAGGTGATGAGCCAGAGGAAGCTGATATAGATTTTTATCAGTAACCTGATTTTCTGATGAAGATAACTGAAATGGGCATCGATGATCTCGATACTTTTGATGATTATGTATAAGATGAAAGAATTGCAGATATATCAAGACGTACAACATACTTTGAACCCCTATGTGATAAAGAAAAAATTTTAACAAAATATATGACAAGTAAAAAATTATCAATTACTCCTCGTATTAAGGAAATCATACCCTTAGATTCTAGTACATTGATGCACACGAGTACTTCTATTATTGCAAAAAACAGTTGATCTAAATCACTGGATTTAAAACAAATAAAAGATGAAACCCTGAGTAACTTGAACTAAAAGAACTACTAGCAAACTAATTGCAATAAAAGTAAATTATTGATTGGAAGTATTGCACCTGATTTTATGCTACTATCGAAATTATACCCTTTCCAACCAATTATTCGATACAAACAACATTACGGAAAGATGTACGTAAGTCTTAGTGATAGTAGCAGTAGTACTGACAATTATATAGATGTGAATAGAGCTACGCTAATAAACAATGTAATTACCACCAGATTTTGCCTTGCATACAAAAGAAACAACATAGTTTATTTTATTCGCAAAGATTGTCAACCAATCACATCTGTCTCAAGATTGTTGAGATTTATAGGTGCACTAGACTTTAATTATTTGTAAGCAAAAAACCAAAAACTGGCCAAATATTAATATCACCTTATGGAGGACATAATATATTGTCAATCATTATAAGTAAAACATTTACCGATTTGATAACTTCAGAAAGTCTTACAAAAGCTTTTAAATCACTTAGGAAAATATTATTGTGACGAAACCTCAAAACCTTCTGAATTTAAAGAAGGAGGGATCTTACAGACTAATTAGAACCTGGATTGATAAAAGAAATGTTATTAACAACTTTAGATGAAACACGTATACAAATTACTGTCTCTTATAGTAAAGTTGATTTTTCGAAAATTCAAAAACGTAATGAAATATTACAAACACTACATGACAGCCCTGTTGGAAAACATAAAGAAATCAATCAAACTTATCGAAAAATCAGAGAACGATTTTATTGACCTGGAATAAGAAATGATATTCTCAATTATGTTCGTAAAACGCAGTCAAGAAAAAAATTTGAAAGAATAAAAACAAGAAAACCTCTCGTGCTTACAGACACACCTATTGCACATTTTAATAAGGTTTTTATTGATACTGTTCATAAATTAAGAATGACACTAAATAGTTCTTTCCGTTTGCTAGCATTACTACACAGTGTAATTTGACTAATTACATCATATTAGTCCCTGTCCTAGATCTAAGATCAAGCACGTTTGCCGATACACTCATACTAAATGTAATATTAGCTTACAGTGCACCTAGAGCAATTTTATTAGACAGACATGATACATTTATGTCTAATTTATTGAAACAATTTATGAGAACCTAAGGGCTAATTATCGAACTACATCAGCATATCATCCTCAAACAAAACGATTACTTAAACGAAGTCGTGCTACCTCAGCTGACTTTATAAGAACTCACTCTAAAACTTATGATGACTGGGACAATGTGGCCCAATTTGCAGCTTTCACGTATAACACGAGTGTATATGCAGCAACAAATTTGACGCCCTATGAACTAGTATTTTGGTGATTACCCAGGTCGCCCTTGAAGATACCTGAAGATAAAAGGTAAGGAACATATCTATTATATTTACAAGATCTTATTAGGCGGCTTCAAGAAATGCAAATTGCGATAGAAAACTAAAAAATAAAAATGAAAATTCAAGCAAAAACAAGATACGATAAAAAACTAAAGCCTCTGAATGTCGAACGAAAAATTACGTTTGGGTAAAAAAAAAAGTACGTTGCCATTAATTTGATCGCTACTATAATAAACCCCTAAGTAAAAATAGTTTTAGAGGGAAATAATGTGTCACTTGGAAAAAAACCATTGTAAAATCATACGAAAACACACAGATAAATTAAAACTAGTTTTTTAATAACAGTACCACTGTAAGAATTATATTTCACATGTCTTTCAAAAAAAAGACAACGATGCGGATTATATTGGCCATCTTAATGACAATAGTGCTTGAAGGTTGCGCAGATTTAAACTATTCTAATCCTGGCAACTACCACATAAAACCACTGAAATACACTATTAACAAATGGGTATTACAAAAATTAAAATAACTCATCGAAAGATAGTGATATGGCTTAATATTATTTAATTCTTAGTGGAACATACATCTACTTAAAAATTAAATCAAATCTTTCGGTATTGTATTGTACAGTTTAATTATCCTAATTGTACTAACTATATGGAAATTGACTTTTTGAATTAAAAGATAATGCGATTGAAAAATTTCAAAGCAACCCTATTGAACATAATAAATACTGTGTGAGCCCATAATATTATTCCACCTTCAGCATACGAACAAAAGTACTGACACCTTTTGAAATTATTAGAAGCATTGCTAAAGGACTCTTTGGCTTAGTCACAGAAGACGATATCAACGTTATAAAACCAACATTAACAATTTACGTACCGATTTGCAAAAAGAATATTCATAATAGCCATATTCTTGCAGCTGCGTTCAAAAAACTATATTTATACTTCAAAACGCCATGAGCATATTCTAAGACAAGTTGCTGGATATTGATTTCACAACAAGATTTTACTCTCGACAGATATTTAATACAATTATCAACTTACCTCAGAGAAACTGAGGAACTGCACATCCAAAGCTAATTTCTTCAAATATATTTAGAACCGTAGCCCAGGATGTAAAGAATCAAGCAGGAGATAAAGAGTTTGTAGCACGAATAGAGAATCTTTATGTTGACGAAATAAGCATTCTAAGCAAACTGAATGTTGTGCATCAAGAAAATAAAACCATGGTTATATCACATTTACTACTCATAGATCAAACCCCTCACAATATTTATAGACTACATCCAGTCATAATACCTTAACCTGAACAAAATGTATCTGCCTAAATGAAACTATAGTATCCTTACTTAGTAGTAGCAGCAGGCAATAATTATTATTTACGATTAAACGAAGTTAAATTTAAACAATGATATAAAACAGTAGATGGTTAAATATGCTCTGCTATGGAACCGTTGAAAGAACCCTATTCTGTGAGCGAATGTGAAATCATTATGCTATTACGACCTAAAACAGAAGTATTTAAACACTATGGAATTATATCCACACTGAAAACAGAAAGTCAATGAATTAAGTTACCAACTGATAATTCATGGTTATTCATGACACCTTATGAAAAACAATTAAGCATTAACTGCTTTTATAAAATTGATTGACAAAAGAGAGTAAAGGTATAGGTTTTTTCGAATAAATGATGGGTGTACAGAAAAAATACACAAACTAACCTTAATGAGTGAACATAAGATCATTACTCTGATACAATATACCTATCAAGTAGAAGTGAACTTGAACTTAACTGTATTACATGAACCCTTTAAGGACACTTAAATATAAAACAAGAACCAAAAGAACATAAACAAACTGAACTTCATGTCGAAATTGAAGAGAAACAAAAACTATCTAAATCATATAAATCTAGACCTATAATGAAGACACGGACTTTGATACTCCCACGCCGTACACCCCGAAAGTTGGAAATGGACTCATAAATCAATAGTAATTTATTACTATTTTCCTTCCAGGCTTTATGATGAATGCCGACTATTAAATAACAATGAAAAATTGAGTCAACATACATCGTCTTTTACATGCAGTTATTAAACAATAAGAGAATGAAGAAATTATCAAAAAAATGCACATACTTTTGAATTTACATAGTTATACACATTAAACTGTAACTGCCATTTACAATAGTGATTTATTTGATAAAAAACCTTATCAAACACTAAATATAGGAAAAAAATTTCAGATACTTATACTTTTCAGATGAAATCCACTATTTGTCAAGCAGAAAATATTTTTTTACCAACATTACCAAAAAGTGAAAGTAATCAAGTGTGATGAAAAAGTGACATGATGTGACACTGATCTAAAAAGACTTAGGTGTTTTTTGCCGTGGGATATAGAAAAAACAAAAAGGTAACAAGATCTCTTTTACCATTTTTCTTAACTTGGTATCCTAGAATACTATTATGCTGTTAGAGATTCGCGAGGAAGATTATCCCAAAGATATGTAAAATACATGGATCTTGAAAGTTTTCTTTTAGCGTTGCAGAACGATGAACCCAAGTATCGCATGTGATGCGCCAAACCAATAAAAGGAGTGCCAAACACAAAATAAACAAGAAATTGACTCACCCTTTATGTCAACAACAAGTTAAGTTAATGACATATCAAAGACATGTCATTACATGTAGAAAACAACGATGCACACAAACTTCAGGAACAAAGTCAACCTTTGCCAAAATTATCGAGTCACAAGAAAAAATCAACAATAGCAGAAAATAAACCTAATAATTGAGCTCTACCATTCAACTAGTACTATCCTATGTCAAGAAAATATATCGCTTATTTCTGAGGTTTTAATTTTAAGCTTTTTCATACCTACAAGCGAATTTATATTTTGTTGATTATTACCATCCCGTATTAAAACTTGATCGGTGGACACAGACATCACATAATCCTTTTTTTTTTCTCCTAATTGCACTTTATTGTCCAGTTCTATCTTTGAGATTTATTTTTAAAAATTGTACAGTTTTAAGTTTTGCTTATTAAACAAAAAAAAAAAATATTTAACTTTGAGGCTTTGAGATTAAAATGCGTGTTATATTTTATTACAGCTGCATGTTACTCTACTGTAAAAATTTTTTTTTTTATTATTAAGCTTTAACATGTATTAATATTACTTATTCCGTTGTTTTGTGAATCTGCAAATATTTTGACATAGCATGATAAGTAATAATAAGATCTATCTATGTATTCCCTGCTTATCGTCCAACCGTTTTGTAAACATAATTTTATTTTCATATTTAAAAAAAACATTGTACCTGTTCATTTCAAATGCGGTGCGAAAGTATGAAGATACCTTAACTCACGTACCTATCATCAAACCGAATACAATCATTTCATTATACAATACCCAAATTATCAACCCATTACAAATTATATTTCCTTTTGAGAAATAAGTTTTTAGCACTACATATATAGTAATTTAGTTCATAACCTTGTTTTTTATAAAGCTTAAATGACTATAGATTTCCGAGGACGGTGATAGGTTTAAGAAGGGGAGGCTGTCAAGTGATGACTTGCGGAAAGAAATAAAAAAATTTTGTATTTAATTCTATTTTATGTTTTAGTTATTTCTTCAATGATAAAATTTTAGGACTCTTAAAAGAGTCGGACTTAACGAAAGTCGTCATCTAAAAAAGCCGACTGTATACTTCGTGGCTCTCGGAAGTGTCAAGTAACAACCGAAGCGAGCCGCTGAGTCCAAAAACATGGAGTCAGCAAGTACCAGTCCCATAGCATGTAAGACTAAGAAGTTTCAACGAAAGCTCCACGCAAGGTGCATTTCTTCGTATGGCGTTTTAGTTAGTAGCTTTCTATTGCTTTTCGAGTGTGTTAAAATGACAATTGTTATATTAAAAAAAAATATAGGTACAATAAAATTTCATAGAGTGCCTCATTAAACAAATTAATAATACTAAAAGAAGAGTAATACCGAAGGGTTGTACAGACTGGAAGTGCTGAAATTATAATTTGATTGCATGTCATTAGCCGAAGTCTTATGTGGCCAGGGGCTCTATCACGACCTTCGATATCTCGCAAAAGTCAGTATTTTTTTCGATGATTTACATTAAATCATGGTTGTGCGCATGCGCAGTATAAGAATTATCGAAAAAATACTGACTTTTGCGATGTATCGAAAGTCGTGATTGAGCCCCTGGAGTTATGAGTTAATTAATGACATCAAAGACAGAGACCAAAAAGAATAAAATAAAAACAACGTTATTACAATGTATACATTTTACAAGTATAACATCTCCTTTTATTTCCTATAAACTAGTAAATAGTTGGACAGTCTGCTAATTCCGCAACTAGTCAGGGAGTATGAGACCCAAACTCACAAAAATCTAGTTGTTACCGGATTATAAAGTTAAATAATCACGATTAATCATTTATATCTCAAATTAGCGTTTTTTGATGGTTTATAATAACAGTAATTTATGCTAAAAAGGTTTTTGTATTGTACATTAACAAATAATAAATATTGTTTCTTTACGTTTTGATTAAAAATTTTTTTTCACGCAACATTTTGTATTTAATAAGCACTGTCACCTTCAATTGATATAAACATACTATTTTTAGTTTTGCATTGTGATACTGCCACATATAATTGTCTGTAAGCTTATACAAATTTTTTCATATAAACAAACACTGTTAACACTTTGTCCTTGTAATGTACAAATTGTTGTAGCAAATGTTAAAACTTACAAAAGTTGTTTCCCGTGTGGTATAAACTGTAAAGATTATAAATGACCTATAATACTTAAATTTGGAGATATTTTTTGTATAGACAATTTATTTTCTAGTTTTTAGTCAGTTACTACTTCTGTTTTATTGTGTAGAAAAATATTTTTTTGAAGTTGCAGGCGCGTACGCTTGCAAAAACCGTCAGACATGCTTGCATTAGTTGTTATTTATTAATTTTTTCATTCAAATCGTACTTTGTCCCTTTCGAGTTCGGATGGTTTTTACGATACTTTTAAACGTAGTTTAATTTTCTTTATCGTGAAATCAGATTTGAAATAAATTGGATTCGTTTTCTGTATCTGTTTACAGTTCTTACGTACACTTAATTATAAACATCATTAAATTTTGTTTTATTTAAACAGGACCCATTTCATTATATCTCTCATTGTCCCTACTTTATCGTCGTTTTAAACCTTGCCTTCCTTGTATCACTCCTCACAAACTTATATTTAACTAGACACTTTCCAATCTCCAATTCATCCCCAAGTCTTGTCTCTTCCATCTCTTCTAACTTGTTGACAAGTTTTTACAATTTCGTTTCGAGTCTTTTCATCCCTATTTAGTGGCTCAATATCTGCTCTTTGTTCTCTTTCTGTCTTACTTACTCTTTCTGCCAGTAAGCATCACTTTTGCTTTTAAAATTTTTCAATTTTCTCATCTCACTTTTATAATATCTTATGCACCTAAAATTTTGTTTACCTTATCCGAGTCTGCTTACCTTTGCTTTTCTTTCCCTTTATTATTTTCACTGCTTTTTTTTGTATTTTTTTTATCTTTTATAGTCATGTCATTATCTTTCTTTTGATTACATATGTTTTCTTAATCTTAGCTGACACTTTTGTCCGGTCCTCTTAAAAATCACTGCACTTAATTTATTAAATTTTCCTCTTGTGCATACTCGCTTTTGGGTTTTTATCTCTATCTCTTTAATCTCTTCTCTCATATGATCTTTTCACTTTGCGATTTACTTTTTCAACTAAGCCTTATTTTTCTATGACTAAAAACCACAGCTTTTAACAAGTCGCGTTTACTTTGTTTCTTATGCTTACATTGCTTTCTCGTACCGTCTTCTGTACTTTAACCTCATGCTGTGTCTCATTTTTGCAACTTTTCTATTCGTGTGATGCTCCTTAATTCCTTATTATTATTTTTTTACCGTCACTTCTCTACTTAATATTTTAACTTTTCTTCTACTTCCAAACTTCACTTTTGACTTATCTCTCATGTCTGTGCTCTCTCGTACGTGTGCACACCTATGCTACTTGTAAGAGACTCGAATTTCTTACTCACATAACTATTGTTTTCACTTCATCACCTTTGTAAATTGCACTATCTATACTATACTGAGCTGATATATTCCCATTTAGTTGGCATAAAATTATGTTACTTAAAAAATAAATGTACTTATTGTATAAAGAAAGGAATGACTTTATTTGCAATAAATTATTCTTATTAGTTTTCCGATGCCTATAAATTTTAAACGTCTAATTTTTTCCTATCTTAATCTCTAAGAACAATTAACAAAAATTACTTTGATCTTTCAAACTGCTCACTACTGTTTCTAAGTCTTTCTTAGTATCATGAAAGCCGTATCATGAATTATTTAATCTACTTTGCGTTATTGTTTTTCAATCTATCTCTAAAGTTACACTTTTTATATTATTTAAGTCCAAAGGTAAACAAAAGCTTCTATGACCAGTCAATGCGTTTGGAAGCAATGCTGACGCAATACTAGTCCAAGCTATTGATACAAATTTTTTCCCTTAAAAAAAAAGTCATAAATTATTGTTCTGAACAAAAAAGATTTCTCTAGGTCTTCCTGATCATTATTTAACTGAAAATATATTAAATAAGTCATGTGTTCATAGAATAAAAGTCCTCAGTGTTATCATTCTACTTCAAATAAATGTTTCTTACATGGTTAAATTAAATGGTAAGCATGATTCACCGTAAAATTTGAAAATCTTATTCATGTGTAGAAAAGCACTACTTTTTTTTGACATAAACAAAGACTTCTCTGAAATTTTTTATATTAAATCATGGTTGTGCGCATGCGCAGTATAAGAATTATCGAAAAAATACTGACTTTTGCGATGTATCGAAAGTCGTGATTGAGCCCCTGGAGTTATGAGTTAATTAATGACATCAAAGACAGAGACCAAAAAGAATAAAATAAAAACAACGTTATTACAATGTATACATTTTACAAGTATAACATCTCCTTTTATTTCCTATAAACTAGTAAATAGTTGGACAGTCTGCTAATTCCGCAACTAGTCAGGGAGTATGAGACCCAAACTCACAAAAATCTAGTTGTTACCGGATTATAAAGTTAAATAATCACGATTAATCATTTATATCTCAAATTAGCGTTTTTTGATGGTTTATAATAACAGTAATTTATGCTAAAAAGGTTTTTGTATTGTACATTAACAAATAATAAATATTGTTTCTTTACGTTTTGATTAAAAATTTTTTTTCACGCAACATTTTGTATTTAATAAGCACTGTCACCTTCAATTGATATAAACATACT